GTTGTGCTGGGAACGTTAGTAATAGCAGCAGTGGTTCGCTCTTAACTGATAAGATGAGCAAGGCCCTTGAATTCATACCTCTAGTTCAAATTCTGGAAGTTGAATCCAAATCCACAGCTCTGTGCCTGGGAAGTGAAGATGAAAGACGGTCACGGTCCCAAGGAGTATGAGAATCACTTCTTTTCCTATAATGCTGTGTAATGAGAGAGAAAAATCTATATGTTGGTATGTGCTATGTTGCTTTATTGCATGTTTTCTGTTTAATAAGGTAGGGGAAGCTGCTGCCCAATGAATAATATCCATTTCCCATACTGTTGCTCTGAGTTATCCCCGTGCTCCACAATTGTTTTTTGATAGTCAAAAGACATTTTAATGGCGTAACAGCTCCCTCTTCTTGTTTTGGAGGGCTTTTTTTGTTTGTGTATTTTTGTTTTGTTTTGTTTTTTTCAACCTAGACTGGAAACTGGTGGTCTGGGTATAGATTCACAGGTGAATGGGATATCACTGCCTCTGGTACAGGAATATACATCAGGGGCAGGGCAGGGCAGGAAAGGAAGCAGTAACATAATCTGTAGCTGTGTATCTGTCAAAGCTCCGTATCCTTTGTCTGTTTAGATTTAAGCTGTTAGAAATAACAATCTTCCTGTTTGTACAAAGAATTTAATGCCGTGTGGCCCAAACAATAGGCAGGGTTACCCACATTCTCAAGCCTCAAAAAAATCCTTTTCTTTCCAAAAAGCCCACCGTACTATAGTTTTTTCCCAGATCAGAGTGACAGACACAGGAAAAGCTCTATCTAGACATGGAGGTAACAGTATCCGGAGGCCTGTGATACAGGACTGGGAGGGACATTGCAATTTTCTAGTGTGAGCTTTGCCACTGAGGCAGAATTTAGTAGGCTTAGATTGTTCTATAAAGGTACTTTTCTAAATGGTTTCTAAGAAGCACTTAAGGAAGAGCGCTTTGTGTTTATCCTGGATAAATTGTTCCAGTGTTTCACTCCTGCTAGTGCAAGGCACACACGCCTGTCTACTTCTTTGTTGTGAGTTAGGTTGGTTTCTTGTCCTCTTTCCCCCCCCTCCCCCAATCCCGCTAGAAATGGTTAAGAATTTAATAACCTTTATAAAAGGTAGAGTCATACTTTCCCCACTTTTTCACTGTTTTTTTCTAGACTGGGATGATGAAGGAGGAGGTGAGGGGACAGGGAAGAGATTTCTTCCTGATCCTGAATTGGAATGAGTTTGTGCCCAGCAACACGATAACCATAGTAACTTATTTTTGACTGGAAAACAGCAGTTGCTCTTA